TTCTGTTGAGTGCCAAATGTGAGACTATGCAAGAGGTTGGTTCACTTAACCTTTAAGATAAGGCCAAAAAGAAGCATTGGTTATTTATTCAATAAAGAGGCATCTCACACCTAATGAAATAGGACAGACATGGGTTCTACCTGGCTGGAAGTTTCACTGTAGCCAAGGGTAGCTGTGCCATTTTACACACACACACACACACACACACACACACACACACACACACACACACACAGAGGTACTATTAAATGAAAGTTATAGAAGGCTGTTGTTCTTGAGAATTCCTTCACTGGGCTCCCCAAAACCACATGACAAACCAAAATGGAGTCACTTGTGCTATAAAGCTCTGTGTGATCAAAAGCTTCAAAAAATCAGAAGAGAGACTGGGAACAGGCACAGCCTCACATAGCCAGTCTCAGTCTGCACGCTCGTGACTCTTTCTGTTGCAGCTCTCACAGAAGGGGTACCCGATGCTAAGTCCCGGCTGTTTTCCTGTGGCCTTGTCTCCCTGGCTTGGCCCCTAAGGAAAGGGACTTTGAAATGGCTGCTCTGTTTTTGCTGTTTCCGCCTTCCCCAACCCTTCTCAGTCCATAAAGCCCACTATTTTATGACGTGAAGGGTTGCCCTGTACTAGAAGTCACACGGAAGATCTTCGAGTTGTTATGGTTTTGTCTTCTGACAGACACATACACACAAGGCCTCTGTGTGTGTGTGTGTGTGTGTGTGTGTGTGTGTGTGTGTGTGTGCAGGAGAGAGGGAGGAAGAATCTTCCACGGAGGGACAAGGGCTTAGGCCAGGTAAGAGCCACAAAGGTGGAAAAGCCCCCTGCAGTCGTGTGTAGTGAACACCTGGCCCTGCTGAAGTGCGCAGCAAAACACCCAAGTCTCAGAGATGCTTTTTCCCAAAAATCATCTCCAAGAAGTAGTGAGCCTTATAGTTGAATCTGTAAATTCCCACACCACAGGGCACCTTGCAGAGGCTTTAGTTCAAATAACTTCTTCTGGGGTTAGCCTGAAGCCATCTGAGGGTGTTAGCTAGGCCCAGAGCAGTTAAGCCTGGCACCATCAGTGGTCCCGCTGGCAGTGAGGAGTGAATGAGCCTCTCAAAGGTGACTGTAAAGCAGACTGGTGAGGGATGGCATCCTGGAGCCCATGGTTAAATGTCCATGAGATAAAGAAAAACTGAAGCATCCTAATGTGTCAAAGACAAAATATCCCCGGAACTAGTAAAACAGCCTCAAAACCAACCTCCATAGGCTCAACGCTAAGCACCAGGGGCCACCAGGGAACAAAACAGAGACCCCAGCCAGGCATAGTGGCACACACCTCTACTCTCAGCACTTTGGGAGGCTGAGGCAAGGAGATTACAAGCTCAAGCCAGCCTGGGTAACTTAGTGACTTAGCAAGACCCTATCTCCAAATAAAACTTTAAAAAGAGGCTGAAGATGCGGCTCACTGCAAAGGCCCTGGGTTCAATCCCCAGTACTGGAAAGAAAAAAGCACATCCAACCCCGTGAAGGTTCCCAGGGCTGTGATGTAGCAGCCACTCAATAAATGCTAAACAAATGATAGGAAAGAAATGCAACAGAGCCGGGGATGTAGCTCAGTGGTTCTGCCACCTGCTTCGCAAGCACAAGGACCCAAGTTCAATCCCCAGTACCAAAAAAGAAAAAGAAATACATCAGATAAAAGTAGTGCGCAAGCCAGGTAGTAAGAGTGCCACTTTTTCTAATTTAATTTACATGCAAAAATTCATATCTGTGACCAATGCCATCGTTTCTTAGAATTTACCCATCTGTTTCCTGGGGCAACCATAAAAAAGTGCCCCAAACTCGACGGCATCAAACAGCAGAACTGTAGTCCAGAAATCCACAACCACAATGCTGACAGATTTGGTTCCTGGCCCCTTCTGTCCTCTGGGGGTGGCCTCTTCCCTCGGCCTGTGGGCCCATTTGTGTCCCCTCCTCTCCCCGGAGAACACTGTCATCCGGCTGCAGGCCACTCAGATAATCCAGAAAAAAAATCTCCTTGCAAGATTCTTAATTGTGTGACATCCGCAGCAACCCTTTTTCCAAATAAAGTCACTTTCCCGGTTCTGGGGTCTCCAGGAGAACTACCTGGGAGCTCTCATTTCCTCCACTACATTGTCCCATGGCCAAACTTCTCAAATTAAAACATTTCAAAACAAAACAAGCTTTCTGTGCAAAGAGCATGAACTAAGAGACAACAGCCTACAGGCTAAACCACAGGAGATAAGTAAACTTTTGTGCAACACAAGATCGATTACTGTCAAAACATTTCCAGAAATTTCACAACAGAGAAAACTTCTCATGGTGATAACGTAAGTGACAGAGCAGAACTTAAAAAAATTGTCTTTACAGACTGATCTCAGATGTGTACAATTATTTGAAGAATAGTAAGAAGGAACTGTACCTTATGAAAAGTATTTACTGGCAATGAGTGGGATTGCTGATAGAGACCACCCTGAGCGAGCTGCAGATTCATAAACTGGCTTTGCAAAGTGAAAGCTTGAGTCTGCCTATTGGCAAGTAGTGGTTGCCTGAAGAGCCGGCAGTTGGAGTGCGGGAAAGGAACAGCTCCCCACACCACAGGTTACAGCAGAAATCTCAATGATCTGCGATGCTGTGACATCTTGGATGGCAGGACAATAGTGCGGCTAAGGGCAGCATGGCTCATACAGAAAACTCCTATAGAGGCAAAAATTAATCCATGGGAAGAAACAAATTTCCCATTAAAGCATGAGCTGCTCTTGCTCGAATGTTTCATTCCCTTGTTGCTAGGACCCTGCTGACATCAGTGCTCTCTACTCCTCCACTGTTCCTTGCACTCTCCTTACTCCTTCTAGAAGCTGTGTGCTCAATAAATAACAGTGAGCTCCAGGAGATGGTGTCTTAGCCTGATAGGAGCCCGGATCATCCTGGGTCCCCACTTATGAGTTAAGATCTTCTCTTTTTTAATCCTGCCACTCTATACTTGGCCAGGTGATTGAGGGTCTGAGCAGCCTCTAACAGATTATTATAATTTTGGTTCTTTCTCCTTCTGTAATGTCGAAATGTACACAAATTTATGATTTGAACCAATTTTGAGGAACATTTGCTTAAAAAGAGATATGCATGGTGACTGTCTACCTATGGTTATTACAGATTTCTCCCCAAACTAAAATGGAAGGAAGTTAAGGTAAATAGACTTTAAAAAATAAAATAAATGATAAACATGATAAATGATATAAAACCAAAGATGGGGAGAGGGAAAGAGAAAACAGGGAAACAAGAGGTCAGCAAGCTTGTGGGCTCACAGCAGCATGGACGGTGGGCACTGTGAACCCACGGGCTTGGGATTGGGCTCCTGGTGGCACAATGGGGCTGCAGACACAGGGAACAGTGGGGATATGAAGAGGGGCCCATGGTCACCCTACTTTCCTCCACCTCCCCAGCAGGGCCCACTTTTCACCCTGGGGACCAGGCGTACAGGGGATGGGGCAGAAGCCAAGAACAGTTGAACTCTGGGCCTCATCAGAGGGCCTGGCTTCTCCTCCTCTCATTTCCATAAGACAGGCAGGGGTGCAAGACTCTTCTCCCGAGAAATTAATCAGCCTCAGAGAAGCGACAGCCAAATGCTGGTATCCAGGCCATGAGAAGACCAGCTCAGAACACAGTCACTCTGCCCGGAAGCCGGCCAGGGGCCCGCCAGCCCTGACCCTGCACCAGCACACTCGGGGCCAACATCTGGTCCACTGAAGTCCTCTAAATGAAGCTCCATGGCCCAGCTGTGAGCCAGTACCTGAGGCCCAGAAAGTCCCCAGAACAAGACAGACTCAGATGTTTCGGAGCCTGTGACAACGCAGAATCCTGTGTCGCGCAGAGACAAAAAAATGGAGAGGACACCTGTAGGCCAGAAAGAGGGTGGGGAACAGAAACTTAGAAAGAGGCTGAAAAAAGAAAAAGCTGTAAGCAGTATTGTCAGAGTTAAGACACTGCATACATAAAAGCAGAACGGGGCCTATAAAAAGGGTTAGTCACCATTATTAGGATGACTGCTATCAAAAGCTAAAAGCAAGTGCTGGCCCGCATATAAAGGAATTGGACCTTGCACTCCTCACAGGAGAGTGAAACAGTGCTGCCGCTGTGGAAACAGCAAAGCAGCCCCCGCCATGGTGAGGCGACTGTAATCCCAGCACTCAGGAGGCTGAGGCAGGAGGATTAGGAGTTTGAGGCCAGCTTGGGTTAAAAGCAATTTCAAATCCAGCCTGGACTACACAATGAAACACTGTCTCAAAAAACCAAACCAAAACAAAAACAAATAAAATAGAATTACTGCATGGTCCAGCAACTCCGGAAGTATACCAGGAAGAATTAAAGTAGAGGCTGAAAGGTAATTGCAAACCTATGTCCATAGCAGCGTCTTCACAACAACAGGGAGATGAAGCAAACCGAGTGTCCATCCCCAAAATACGTGGATTCAAACTCGTGGCCCATCCACGCACCGGAGCATTATTCAGGCTCAAAGGGAAAGAAATTCTAGTGCCTGCTATGAAACGGAAAGCCTGGAGGACACTCTAAGTGACGAAGCAAGTGCCTTCAAGACAGGCTGCTGGGAACAGAGGGTGGTGGCGCTTGCACAACTAGGTCAGGGCAGTGGACACCACACAACTGTACAATGAAAACTGGGTAAAATGACTTGGGAGTGGTGGTGCACACTGTGACCCCAGCACTCTGAAAGGCTGAGGCAGGAGGATCCTAAGTTTTGGACCAGACTCTGGGCAACTTAGTGACCTAGCGAGACCTTCTCTCAAAATAAAAAAGGCTGGGGATGTAGCTCAGTGTGAAGGCCTCAGGTTCAATCCCCAGTACCAAAAACAAACAAACAAACAAACAAACAAAGGATAAAATGGTAAATGTCATTTTTAATGTATTTTACATAATTTTTTTAAAAAAGATGAATAGGTAATTAGAGCTCCCTCAGAAGTAGTATGTTTCCCAGTTGGCAGAATTAATGGTTCCATCTGTCTCAGAGAGTGTCCTCAACAGCCTGAGGAAATGGTTTGTTCCTTTGGCCTGCTGTTTTCTCAGCTCCCACCTGCTCAACATCCGGTCCTGGGGAGGGAGGCTGTGGGTGGGAAAGTGAAAGGGAGGAGATTTCTGTTTTCAAAACTAGTATTTTAAGTACTGTTTCACTAATTAAATGCATGCATTGTCCACTTAAATCAACACATTGAAAAATTCAGGTGAGTGGGAGTATAAAATCTATACCTTCTTTGACCACGCGGCCAAGAGTCAGCGGGAAACAGAGGGCAAACTGGCAAAGTGGCAGAAGAAAGGGCAGATGGGGTGGGGAGAGGAAGAGGGGCCCAGTGAGGCTGGAGGCTGGGACCACCAGGGAGGGGGAGCCCGGGCAACAGGTGGCTCTGCGCAGGCGCAGAAATAGGCTGGGCCCGACCACGGCTTCACCCTCCCACCCTTTGTCCAGGCCTCCGCGGCGGGGATGGTAGGAAGATCACGCACGGTGCCCAGCCCAGCTGCTCACTACAGTGACCTCGGACAAGCAGCCTGGCCTCTCGGGGCCTCGGTGTCACCCTCTGAGAAGAGGAGATGACATCTCACCTTTGCCTGGCCCTGTGAGGAGCCAGTCAGGGGTGCAACTGCTCGAGACTGGGGTCCTGCTGCTCGGTCTCCTCACGCCGAGCAGTGTCTACCATAAAACTTCAGGCGAGCAGCGGTCCTAGTTTCCCATGGCTGCTGTAACAAATTCCCACTAAATTACTGGCTGGAAACAACATCAGTGGACCATTTTACAGGTCTAGAGGCTAGAAGTCCAAACTCCATTTCCCCGCACTCGGGAGTCAGGGAGGAATGGGAGCCCTGCTTCCCCAGCTCCCACCCCGGCTCTGCACTCCAGACTCCACCCAACCCATCCTCACAGCATCAGCCTCCTGAGTCACGCTGCTCAGGACACTGGCGAGGCCCTGGACCCCAGGGTGGCACCATTTTCCATTAAAGCCCCCGAGTTCAAACACAGAGTCCCAAATTCCAGGGATCTGGCTGGGGGCGTCCTGCCACAACCTGCAGGTGTTTGGAAGTCCAATACCACTGAAGGGCTTGGGCCAGCAGCCCAGCCACCATCCCACCCCCATCCCAGGACTCACTGCCAGTGTCAGATCTTGAATGTCTCCCAAGGGCCACGCAATAGGAGGCCCCCCCGCAACACCACTGAGAGGTGGGGGAGACTTAGAGACAGCGCTCAGGGACAAAAACAGGCATGCAGATCAAGAGGACGGAACAGAGGATCCGGGACCTGTGGGAATCATGAGTATTAGTTGTAAGTATTGTTAACTTTAGTAACTCCATATTTGTTAAGTTCCTCCAGTTTAGAAGGTGGTGTGTTTCGTTTGTGGAATTCCTGAAAGTTGCAGTTTCTTGTCTCTGACCTTCAGACGTGTGGTTGTCTGGGTTACTACTACCCATGGTGGTTGTTTTTGTTGAGCCTGTTTGCTCTTTCCTGTGTGAACTTTCATTTACTATGGTAAACTCATCCCATAATAGTTTGTGGTTTTTTTGCTTTAAAAGGCTGATGCTTGCCGGCAATAAATGTCGCCTTGATCAGACTCTTGTCTTGGAGTCCTTCCTTTCTCTCTGCCCCATCTCCACCCTGCTGCTCTTTCAGGTTTGAGACACTGCTGGACAGTGCTCTGCGTCGCAGGCTCGCGACAGGGACCAACCCAGACACCCTCAGTCACATGATCTTCAGCAAAGGGCCCGAAACCACGTGCTGGAGGAAAGGCACATGGAACACTGGGTATCGGCACACAGAAGCCTGAGTCTACCCCCATGTCTCTCACCCTGACTAAAATCAAATCGAAATGGATTGAAGACCTAAATATTAAACAGAAACACGCAATCTAATGGAAGACCAAATAAGTAAAACTTTGGAAGACATAGGTGTAGGCAAGGACTTTCTGAGCAGAATGCCAGTGGCACAAGAAATAGTACCAAAAATCAACACACCAAATTAAAAAGCTTCCACACAGCCAAGGAAAAACCCAACAGAATGAAGAGACAATCTACAGAATGGGGAAAAAACTCCCAGCTCCTCCACAGGGGCCTAATATCTAGAATAAAGAATTCAGAAAAACTAGACCCTCCCCCCAAGAAAAGGCCCAATCCAAAAATAGGCAATTGAAATGATCAGACATTTCTCACAAAGAAGTACAAGTGACCAAGAGGTACATGAAAACAAAAAACAAACAAACGCACAGCATCTTTGGCTGTGAGAGAAAGGCAAATCAAAACAACACCGAGAGTCCATCTTCCTTCAGAAAGAATAGCACTATCAAGAAATCAAGTGACCAATGCTGGCAAGGCTGCGGGGAGAAAAGGGAACCCTTCTCCACGGTTAGTGGGGCTGTAAACTAATACAACCACTGTGGAAGTCAGAATGGAGATTCCTCAAAAACTAAAACTAGAAATTCCACTCGATCCAGCGATTCCTCTTCTAGGTATCTTTCCGAAAGCGTTAAGGACACATATAACAGTGATCCACACATATCCAAGATTACGGCAGCACCATTCCTAACAGCTACATCTTGGAAGCAGCCTATGTGCCCCATCAAAGTGTGGCATTTACACACAATGGAGTACTACTCTGCCGGAAAGAAGGGCTCACCTTGATACCACAGCAGGAGAACTATTGCACGATTTCTGCTATATGAAAAACCCAAACTATAAATAATTCACAGAGCAAAACAGGAGATAGATAGGAAATAGACTTCATGAAGATGGGAAGGGGTCCTGGGGATGGGAGGTGACAACAGGGAGGGAGGAAAAGGGGAAGGAGGATGGAGATGCCATAAGTCCATGTCCCAATTCCCCACGAAGAACGGATTCACCGTGTGTGAAACATACACTAATAAAAGACCTGAAAAGGGGGAAGGTCATTGGGGGGTCTGCCCTTGAGGGAACTGTGGGGCCCCAATCCCTTCCTCCTCTTTTACTTCCTGCTGGGCCACATATTGCCACCAAGACTCACTCCCTCACCACAGACCCCAAGCAAAGTCCCTCAGTCATGACTTGGGATTTCTAAACCATGAACCGAGTTATGCCTTTTCTCCTTATCTCATGCGTCTGTCATAGTGACAGAAAGCTAGCACAGGCACCCTAAGGGGACCTAAGACTCCTGGATGCTGGGCGTGGTGGCACACACCTATATAACCTTGGCATGCAGGAGGCTGAAACAGGAGGATTGCTGTGAGTTTGAGGCCAGTTTAGGCTACACAGTAAGATCCTAACTTTAAAAACAAAATCGTGAACAAAAATTAAAACAGTTCAAAAAGTCAGACTGGCAGCAGTGTGCAGCTCGTCCTCAGGGTTATGACAGACTTGAAGGATCTGAACCACTGCTGAAGTTCTCCTCAGATCCGGAGCATGTGGACCCCTGTTAGCCCCTGATTCCGCCAGTAGAGGGCAAACTCCAGAGCAGGAAGGAGGCCTGGAGTTGAGGCTCAGCGCCACCTCCGAAGCAGCAGCACCCGCCCGTGGCTGCCCCTGGTCAAAGCTTGTCACAACTGGCTCAGGACCACGGGTGGGGGAAGCAGGGGTCTGGGAGTAGTTCCCACACTCTATCCCCAATGTCCCTCTCCAGCGAATCGGATCCCCATGAGAACTGGTAACGAGATAGTGGAGCTCGAGATTAAAACTCTTAAACAGTAAAAACTTCACACTGCAGGGTCAGAGAACTCCCCACTGTAATATTAAACCATAGCATTTTAAAAAATAAAAATCAGGGGCTGGGGATTTAGCTCAGTGGCACCACGCATGCCTCACAAGGGCAAGGTCCTGAGATCGATCCCTGGTTCCCAAAAAGAATAAACAAATAAAAATCAATAGATGGGCACGGAGCCAAAGACCTGTAACCCCAGCACTCTGGGAGGCGGAGCCAGGAGAAATGCATGCTTGAGCCCAGTCTGGGTAACTCAGCAATTTAGTGAGCCCGTCTCAAAACTTTAAAAGGGGCCAGGGATGTAGCTGAGGGAAGAGGCCCTGGGCTCCACAATCCCCAGTATGAGAAAAATAAATAAAGAAGTATTGGCAGCAGTAAGTCAAACTACAAGCTTAGAAAACGACTGACAGGAAACCATTCCTATTGAAGGTGACCAGGCCCTGAGAGCGGCTGAGATACTGCACCGCAGGGACTGTCCCAGGGACCCGGCACCCCAGAGAGGAGCCAGCTCAGGTCACTCATGGACCCCCCTCCCACCTTCAAAGGGAGGACGCAGGTGCGGTACAGGTCGGATGGGACCCACACGTCGTGGCCTCGGAGCTCCCCGCATGCCCTGTCCTCCTCATGCATCTGAGGCTGCTGGTGCTTGCCGCTCCTCCTGCAGAGCAGAGCAGAAGGTGGGCGGAGCTGCTCCAGGCAGTTGTGCACTCAGGATCTGCGCCCTAGCTGCTGCCAGATGCTGCCAGACTGGTGGGCTGGGCCCATCTACCATTGTTAAGTGTGGCCCCTGACAGAGCAGGGAGAAGCCTGCAGGTCATTATGCACATTTGGGGAGTGATGGATAGATGGATAGGTAGACAGAGACAGAGAGACAGACAGAAGTGCTGGCCACAGAAGATTCCTCCGTGAAGACAAGGAAAAGGAATTGTTCCTGGTGCAAGGAGCATAAAGAGGAGCCGTGGAGCAAAGCAGGATGACCGCTGGGTCAGGGAGGCCAGGGGCAGCTTTCTGGGGTCAGAGGCGGCTTCCCTGTACCATAGACCAGAGACGTTGCCTGGGCGGAAGTGACGTCAGAAGAGCCATCCTGGAGGCCCTGATAGCCACCGCCGCTGCCACCGCCGCCGCCGGCCGCGCTGGCCTTGAGCAAGGGTACATTCTCCAGGATTGACGGCTCGGACTCAGGCCAGCTCCGTACTCCCCCCAACAGCACTTGGCTCTCAGAGCAGCTGTTGAGCATGACACGCCCCGCAGGGCAGAAACGCCATCCACAAGCCGCCTCTCAGTCACTCTGCCCGGGTCCAAGTGCTGGGACTGCAAGTGAGCTGAACGCTTTAAAGCCAGGTTTTACATTTATTAAGCAATTCGTCAGTAGAATATTATTATTTTTAAATGTAATGAAACAAATCAGCCTTTTGTGTGATCGTACACCAGTGATGAATGCTTTGTCATCGGTAGGGAGTCACCCAGCAATGCCTTGCCAACAGACGCAGGTCTCCCACCACCGGCAAGGGAGCCTACTTCGAGGTGACATCTCCCCATGGCGAAGTGAGCTACTCAGGGGCTGTGACTCAGGTTCTCTCAAGCTGGTTGTTAAGATTTTAATAATCATAGGACAGTGGCAGGCCCCAGATCTGCTCAGGTGAATGCAGTAGGACCAGTAAAAATAAACTCACCATGAAAAAATTGGCTTGGAGACCACAGACCTGTAATTCCAGCACTCAGGAGGCTGAGGCAGGAAGATCCCAACTTTGCAGCCAGCCTGGGCTATGTAGCAAGTTCAAAGCCAGCCTGGCCTACATAGAGACCTGTGGGGGGTGGGGGTGGGGTCACCCTGGCTAGGGGTGTTGCTTAATGCAAAGTGTGGGCTTAGCATCCATGAGTTAAAGCATCAAAAGAAAAAAAACCCACCTTGTGTCCTAAAACAGCTCCAAAACTTATAGCTTAAAGTGTGATGACATTTATTTATCCAACATGCCTGATACCATAAAAATGTTTACTCTTAGGCCGGGGATGTAGCTCCAGGGGCACCACACCTGCCTCGCAAACTCAAGGTCCTGAGTTCAATCACTGGTACCAAAAATAACATCATTTACTTCTAAAGGGCCCAATAACAGATGACTTGGAAGCTGTGACGACCCAATTCAATCATAGTGAGTGACACCAGCGAAGTGCCTCATGAGGATGACAGGGGATTCTGCTGTTTGAATAAGGAATCTGGCCTGCAAACGAATGCCAAGACCCACGCTATCAAAATTACTCACTTGCGCTGATAGCATCTTCAATTTTCAACTTAGCAAAGGCGCGTTAAGCATATAGAAAAAAAATTAACTAATTTCCAGAGAGAACATTACACTTCCTGAACCTCAAAGTTCTCTGCTGACTGTGATACGATCTCCCTGACTCATGGCCCCACAGCCCAATCATTCATTGGCAGCCTTCTCCTTGCCCTAATGTCCTGGAGGGTTCTTAGGTGGATGTTTCCCTGCTAATAAGTTTCTCATCGTTGCATGTTTTCAACAGAACCCTAAGGGACAACAAGCAGATCCAGGGAAAAGCAAAAGAAGCAAAGAAGCAACCGGGGATGAAAGGATGATTCTGCAGGCAGTTGACCCACAGCCCAGTATCCACAGAGGCACTAAGATGACTTTACTGGTGTCCTTTCCAAAGGACAAGGTCACCACTGGCGGCCCGATCCTGAGCACATGTCCTCCTTCCTGACCCCCTCACCGGCAGAACACAAGGTTCACACAAGGCTCTAACCTCCTCTAAGATTCCAAGCCTAGCTTAGTACCACCCCAAGGGAAGTTACTGGCAATGCTAAGAAAAACCTCCTCCTGGGAATGGTCTGCTTTTCCTCTCCCTGCAGCCGCGGATGGTGACTGGAGGCAGGTGTGGAAGGCCTCTGCTGTGCTGGGGGAGGGCTACGGCCTTCCTCTGGGAATGCCACCAGCTCTGGGCAGGGTGGCAGCAGGAGCAGTGATCTAAGAGGACCAGAAAATCCCACCGCAGAGAGGCACATCCCACTGCGATCATCCCACCCTTCAGAAGGAGTCTTTTTGGAGCTTCCTTCTTGAGGGGAGTTCAGGCAGCCTGAAGAGTAGACAGAGAACAAGCCTGAGAACAGCTGGGGGAGTAGCCATTCTCTTGCCCTTCCTGCCCTTCCCATTGGAAGGAAAATGCACCCTTCTTCTCACCTCTGCCACCATAACTTCTAAATCCTTTGGCCCATGATGAGCGGAGGCTTTCTGCAGAACCACCAGGACAGGATATGTATGAGTGTGTGTCTGTGTCCTGCTGTCACCACGAAGCCCTTCAATCCTTTATCCCAGTCTCGAAACATAGAAGTGCTGAGAAAGTCTCATCGTGACACCATATAGCAGAAGAGCCTCGGCCATGACTCCAAGTAGTTCATGTTTTATAAAGGCCCCACAAAGCATGCATTAGATGCCAGCGTTTGGGGGACAGCTGATCGCTTTCCCTGTCTAGCTGCAGTGCTGCTCACAGCATAGGGCTCTGAGACAGGCAGCAGCCCACCTCCCCTGGCCTCAGCCACCTCCCCGCCCCTCCAGCCACTGCCTCCCTAGAGAAGCTGGAGAGCTGTTCAGTGGCAACTGCTGAACACTCTTAGCAGCAGGCATGAGAGTCAACGCCAATCACCCATCATAAAAGGTCCAGCACTAGGACTCTGCAGACGTGTGGCCTTCCAGATGAACGACTCACACATGTGATATCCGAAGAGGCAGTTTATTAAAAAAAAAAAACCAACACCCAACTATCATATTTTCTTCTCTGTCCATTATTTCCCCTTCCTAGAAGTTACAAAAGGGTGGAGGGGATAAAATCTTTGCAAATGGACATAAATGACTCCCGAGTCAGGCAAAGAATAAAAGACAATACAAGAACAAATTCTGTTACAGCAATATCATAATACGACATGAATTGTTACAGTGCAGTGGTTGTCATGAAGTTCACAATAGGATACTAAGCCCCAAAACCTGACAAACTGAAATCACCCGCAGCCTTGGCTTCCGAGCAGGAGAACCAGCTTGAGCAGCCCCAGCAGGGACAGTGGGGTAAGGCTTTTCTGGCAGCGCAGTGTCTCTGCGACAAGGCCCCCGTGGTGGCGGTCACTTGGAGTCTTCATCCTTCTTTTCATCTAAAAGGGCGGAGCGAATCCCCAGCTTTTTCAGTTCCTCCACCAGGTCCCCATTCTGGTGCATCTGCAGAAGGATGTCACAGCCCCCCACGAACTCGCCGTTGAGGTACACCTGCGGGATGGTGGGCCAGTTGGAGTAGTCTTTGATGCCTGGGGAAGGAACAGAGGTGTTACTGACGGCCACGGGGACCCTTCCACAGCAAGACAGGGTGCTTGCCACTGCCAGCAGCAAACCCACTCGGGGGAGTGATGGGCTGTAGCGTCCCACAGACAGACCTATGTTTAACTCTGGGGATTCCAAACCTCAGGGCCTCAGATGGCCACCTGGTGGCCCCAAGGCTGCTTTCCCTCATTACCTAGGCTTCCTGAGAACTGGGGTAGTAAAGCTCAGAGCAACCCCCGCCAGCGCCGACAGGGGGCGCGAGCGGCAGCGGTTACCGGAAATCGTAAGCCCCTGTCAGGCTCAGTCCCTCCCTCAGGTTTTCCAGGCAGCACAGCTAGAAGCAAAGGCACAGTGATTTCCTCCTTGCGTGTCCCACCTGTCTCGGCTGAGCCACCAGGTCCTCGTGCTCAAGACGCTGAGCTGCTGACTTTTGCCTTTCCCAGCTGCTTTTTACCCAGCCCTATGCTACTGCTGATTAGGCGTGTGGGGTGCTTTTGTATTTCTATAGGTATTTTAAATAGCCAAAATGAATACACAGATAAAAAGCAGACAGAGTCTTCAAGCAAAATACACTCTTTTGCAAATAAAACAAATCAGCCAAGTGGTGACTTTTATGCAGATAACTAATTCTTGATATTCTATCACTCGTTATCATTTATTTCCCGATTAAAACTTCCAGTGAGTTGTACCACAAGTAACAGTTCCAATTTACCACGTGTTTTTCTTGCCAATGTTATTGCCATTTAAAAAAACAAAAAGAAAACAGTGACTGTGCTCTAAATGTCAGGGCTAGAGAAAGCTCCTGAGTCACTGCTTTTATCTTTCTTCTCCAGACATCATACTTTAAGAAATGGCCATGGCCGGGAGTGGTGGCGCATGCCTGTAATCCTAGCACCAGGAGGCTGAGGCAGGAGAATCACAAGTTACAAAGTGAGACCCTGTTACCTTCCCCCAGCAAAAAGAGAAAGAAACGGTCACAACAAGGCCTGGGGATGGAGCTCAGCACTAGGGAAGAGTCACGATGCCACCAACCTCCAAAGGCCCATTCTCAGCCCTGTTGCACCTGTAGAAAAAAATCAGCTAGAGGTCTGGGGACTATAACTGAAGGGTAAAGTCTAATTATGGGAGCATCTTTTATTACCACCTCTGCCGAATCCAAGCTTTTCATCATTCTGATGTTTGGAAACAAAAACTCTAGCACATGAGTTATAAGAGTCTTTTTTCTTTTTTCCCTCCTTTTTTTTTGGCAGTAGTGCTGGGGATTTCACTAAGTCATATCTGCAGCCCATTTCTAATTTTGAGACAAGGTCTCACGAAACTGTTAAGGTGCCAGGCTGGGCTTGAACCTGCCTCACAAAGTGCTGGTATTACAGTCATGTGCCCCACTCGCTTTTTAACTCTACCTCCAATACAGCCAATGGGAACTTACTTTACAACGACATGATTACAAATCTTTTACCTTTATGACGACTGAAGGCGGGACATGGGAATTAAATGATTAAAGAGTTGCTCCTTTTAATTCTACTGAACTTCAACTTTCTTTTTTTTTTTTTTTTTTTTTTTTTTGGTACTGGGGATTGAACTTTGGTCCTTATACTTGTGAGGCAGGTGCTGGAACCACTGAGCTAAATCCCTGGCCCAACTTTCTTAAATTTCTTCTTTATCAATGGATGCTTTAGGTGCAAGCACATTATGTCTATTTCTTTTAATTGGTAACATAACCCATCGAAATAAATTTCTGCCAGTTATTTTTAGTTTGTGTTAAAATTCTGAAACGCAACAAAAATGAACAGAAACTTGCTGCCTGAAGACCACCCAGACCTAAACAGTATAACTTTGTTTCAGTAAAACCTCTGCTGAGTAGAAGAGCAGAAGCATGACCTGCTTTCCACCTAACATCTTACAGCACAGTATTCAATCAGAGCCTTAGGCTTGTCTGACCACTAACCTTTGTGGCTGCGGACTGCCCACCTGACCATTAGGTAGAGAAGGCTTTCCCCAGAACCTTAGCACCAAAACCACCAACACTGGGCCTCTTCCACCAGGCTGGATTCCAGGGCATCCCCAATACCCACTGGTCACACGAAGAAAACTGGCTCCTTCCAAAACAAGGTCCTGGGCTGTCCTGCCTTGTAACCTACATTTCAAGAGCTCAGAAAAACTCCTGGGGAGCTCGTGTCAAGGCAAAGCTTTGGAATCCTTCCTGAAAACTGCTATTTTCCATTTTTAAGAAATGTGGCACTGGGCGTGGTGGTGCAAGCCTGTAATCCCAACCCTCAGGAGGCTGAGGCAAGAGGATCACAGAGTTCGAGGCTAGCCTGGGCTACAGTGAGTTCAAGGACAGCTTGAACTACGCAGTGAAAAGGTGCCTCAAAGAAAAGAGGGGAGGGGAGGGAAGAGAAAGAATAGGAAGAGGAAGAAGAGGAAGAAGAGAAAAGAAAAAGAAAAAAGATAAATGAAATGAAATCTGGTCATGAGTTTAAACATTTAAGAAAATATCTGAACAAAATATCTAAAAATACCTGAATATCTCTGTAGAGTGAAGTGAGAAACTTCTAATAATTAAAGACCATGGCTCCTAAATTGAAAAGTAAAATGAATCCTATGAATTCACAGCTGGTTTTGTTTTGTTTTTGGTACTGGGGATCGAACTCAGGACCTTGTGCTTGCGAGGCAGGCGGGAGAACCACTCAAACTGCTTTTAAACATGTTTTTTTCTCTTACACTTTAGTTTTCAAAAATTCCAATGCATAGTGATAATTCCTATAAATGTCATTTAAAATAAATCAAAATCAGACAGCAACTCTTGGAAATCAGAGAATCCTATTTCCTGTGCAGTATAGAAATGATCCAACTGGGGACAGAAAGTGCTGATCACAGTTAAACAGCCCAGTAATAGGCGGAATGGGAGTTAGGAGGCTCTCCTACAAGATCAATTCACATACATGTCACCATACAGCTCATCAAAATAATAACGATGATGATGTTCTGCCATCACACCAGGGGGAGTAGAGAAGATGAATTTGAAAATTCCCTTCCAGAACTTTCAGAAGGAACTTTCCAACACTCTCTGCGTCACAGAATCCTGGACTCCACACCTCGCTGGACGCTGCAATCAAGCCAAGTCCTGAGCACACTGCCTCCTGGACTCATCTTCTCTGACTCGGAGAATGTGATGAGCTACAGGAGAGGAAGACGGCGTGGCCACTGCGTGGACGGGGCTCAGGCTGGAGCTCACAGCCCCAGCTTGCTGGCTGCTAAGTGCAGCTGAGACCTCTCCTAGCCTCAACCTGTTTCGTCCTCTGCAAAATGGGCATAAAACTCAACGCCCCCGAGATTTACCATGAAGGGTAAATGAGATAAAACTGATGAAATGACTTGAGCTCCTAACACAGTGCAGGTCCGACGTGGACATTCGCTTCACGTCCACGTCCTCCACTCCACAGCAAGGCTTCTGGGAAATAAATATATGAAAGGGAGCACGGGGAGAGAACGTGGAAACGCTGCAAGCTGAGTGTGCCACACACTAACACGGGTACAATTTATTGGACTACGGATCACGAGGTTTTATATCCGTGTAATACTTTCTACAAATCATTATCTTATCCAGTCTTCACAACTGCCCCCTGAGGTAGGCATAATTACCCCTGTTTTACAGATGAAGAAGTTAAGGCCCAAAGAGGTTAAGAAGCCCCACCCCAAGTCACGGTGGTGGCGTGGGGTGGAGCCAGATCACAGGTCTCCTGACCACTCGCTAGCTGGGTCTCTCACCAGAGGCAGTCGCCAGATTGCAGGCCATCTGTCCTCCCGCACAGCACACAGAGCTGCAAAGTACAGGGCTGTCTTCCACGTGGAACACTTATGCACACAAATGGCGTTTACACATTACACCATCTTACTCTTTGTAACTTGCTTGCGCTTTTTCTTTCTTTTTTTTCTAAGAGAGGGTTTCATTAAATAGTCAGGCTGGCATCGAATTTATGATCCTCCTGCCTCAGCCTCCCTGGGATTACAGGCATGTGCCACCTTTGCAACTTATTTTTATGACTAAACACTGTATTTTTGAGATTTAGCCATTTTAGTTTATTTTAATCAGAATTTTTAGTTTTCTACACTACACTTATCTAGTGTGCTACTAATAGACCAAGATCCCATTTGTCAGTTTTCCTTCCTTACAAACCATGCTATCATGATCACGTTACATATGGATCCTGACACACATGCGTCCTTAGACCTAGAAGTGAAAACCATGGCCTTGAGGCCAAATCAGTCTACTTCCTCTTCTGGCTTTTGCAAGTAAAGTTTTATTGGAACTCAGCCATGTTTACACAGACTTCAAAGGCTGAAGTGCTTATTCCTGCCCTTGGAAGAGGAAGTCACCCAATCCCCAATCCACACTGCTCACCTGGGAGTGGAATGGCAGGGTCCAGGCTCAGTTCATCTGTACCCAGCTGGGCACTGTTACTCCCCAAGAGCTGGTGCTGTGTTCTACTCTCACCCACAGCATATGACTTGTCCCCCATGTAAGCACACACCCACAACTTGGTACCCAACTTCCAACATGTACCTCTGTAACCAGTGCTTTCTTCTTACCTTAAATTCCCTGACAAGAGAAAGGCTGGCATATTTTCAAATCCTTAAAACACTACATGGTAGGACATATGGAGAGAGCCTAGTAACTTCAAAGGGCACAGACGGACACAAGGAACAACTTCAAAAATGCTATGGCCAGTGGCTCCCCATAGTGGACCACAACTAACAGCCAGGGAAGTGGATTCGGATGCTTCTGGCCCAAAGAAATGGTAAAGTCTGAGGCGACAGCTAAGCCAACTACTCTGATCCGAGCACCCACTGTATACACACACTGAAGCGTCACACTGTACCCTACACATCTGGACAACTATGTAACCAGAAAGCTGGAAAATAATAAAAAGGAATAGCATAATAGTTATTTATTCAA